CCAGAAGCAACGCAACTGGTATGTACAAGACGCCTTAATCCACTTGACCATCACGACCGGACATAATGAGGTGATAGCCTAAGCTATTTGAACCACCCCACCGCCGGCACTCGGATAGTAATCTTGGGCATAGCATTTTACCAAATCACCTCATTCTTTGGGGCACACGTGAGGAACACAAATGCGAACAAGCCTGAATGGTCCCCAGGACATATGCAATGCACACTGAAAATACTCAAATAGCTTAGGCTATCACCTCATTATGTCCGGTCGTGATGGTCAAGTGGATTAAGGCGTCTTGTACATACCAGTTGCGTTGCTTCTGGGAGTATGGGTTCGAGTCACTTCTGGGGTGTGAGTTTTCAGTTGCATATTGTCCTGGGGACCATTCAGGCTTGTTCGCATTTGTGTTCCTCACGTGTGCCCCAAAGAATGAGGTGATTTGGTAAAATGCTATGCCCAAGATTACTATCCGAGTGCCGGCGGTGGGGTGGTTCAAATAGCTTAGGCTATCACCTCATTATGTCCGGTCGTGATGGTCAAGTGGATTAAGGCGTCTTGTACATACCAGTTGCGTTGCTTCTGGGAGTATGGGTTCGAGTCACTTCTGGGGTGTGAGTTTTCAGTTGCATATTGTCCTGGGGACCATTCAGGCTTGTTCGCATTTGTGTTCCTCACGTGTGCCCCAAAGAATGAGGTGATTTGGTAAAATGCTATGCCCAAGATTACTATCCGAGTGCCGGCGGTGGGGTGGTTCAAATAGCTTAGGCTATCACCTCATTATGTCCGGTCGTGATGGTCAAGTGGATTAAGGCGTCTTGTACATACCAGTTGCGTTGCTTCTGGGAGTATGGGTTCGAGTCACTTCTGGGGTGTGAGTTTTCAGTTGCATATTGTCCTGGGGACCATTCAGGCTTGTTCGCATTTGTGTTCCTCACGTGTGCCCCAAAGAATGAGGTGATTTGGTAAAATGCTATGCCCAAGATTACTATCCGAGTGCCGGCGGTGGGGTGGTTCAAATAGCTTAGGCTATCACCTCATTATGTCCGGTCGTGATGGTCAAGTGGATTAAGGCGTCTTGTACATACCAGTTGCGTTGCTTCTGGGAGTATGGGTTCGAGTCACTTCTGGGGTGTGAGTTTTCAGTTGCATATTGTCCTGGGGACCATTCAGGCTTGTTCGCATTTGTGTTCCTCACGTGTGCCCCAAAGAATGAGGTGATTTGGTAAAATGCTATGCCCAAGATTACTATCCGAGTGCCGGCGGTGGGGTGGTTCAAATAGCTTAGGCTATCACCTCATTATGTCCGGTCGTGATGGTCAAGTGGATTAAGGCGTCTTGTACATACCAGTTGCGTTGCTTCTGGGAGTATGGGTTCGAGTCACTTCTGGGGTGTGAGTTTTCAGTTGCATATTGTCCTGGGGACCATTCAGGCTTGTTCGCATTTGTGTTCCTCACGTGTGCCCCAAAGAATGAGGTGATTTGGTAAAATGCTATGCCCAAGATTACTATCCGAGTGCCGGCGGTGGGGTGGTTCAAATAGCTTAGGCTATCACCTCATTATGTCCGGTCGTGATGGTCAAGTGGATTAAGGCGTCTTGTACATACCAGTTGCGTTGCTTCTGGGAGTATGGGTTCGAGTCACTTCTGGGGTGTGAGTTTTCAGTTGCATATTGTCCTGGGGACCATTCAGGCTTGTTCGCATTTGTGTTCCTCACGTGTGCCCCAAAGAATGAGGTGATTTGGTAAAATGCTATGCCCAAGATTACTATCCGAGTGCCGGCGGTGGGGTGGTTCAAATAGCTTAGGCTATCACCTCATTATGTCCGGTCGTGATGGTCAAGTGGATTAAGGCGTCTTGTACATACCAGTTGCGTTGCTTCTGGGAGTATGGGTTCGAGTCACTTCTGGGGTGTGAGTTTTCAGTTGCATATTGTCCTGGGGACCATTCAGGCTTGTTCGCATTTGTGTTCCTCACGTGTGCCCCAAAGAATGAGGTGATTTGGTAAAATGCTATGCCCAAGATTACTATCCGAGTGCCGGCGGTGGGGTGGTTCAAATAGCTTAGGCTATCACCTCATTATGTCCGGTCGTGATGGTCAAGTGGATTAAGGCGTCTTGTACATACCAGTTGCGTTGCTCCTGGGAGTATGGGTTCGAGTCACTTCTGGGGTGTGAGTTTTCAGTTGCATATTGTCCTGGGGACCATTCAGGCTTGTTCGCATTTGTGTTCCTCACGTGTGCCCCAAAGAATGAGGTGATTTGGTAAAATGCTATGCCCAAGATTACTATCCGAGTGCCGGCGGTGGGGTGGTTCAAATAGCTTAGGCTATCACCTCATTATGTCCGGTCGTGATGGTCAAGTGGATTAAGGCGTCTTGTACATACCAGTTGCGTTGCTTCTGGGAGTATGGGTTCGAGTCACTTCTGGGGTGTGAGTTTTCAGTTGCATATTGTCCTGGGGACCATTCAGGCTTGTTCGCATTTGTGTTCCTCACGTGTGCCCCAAAGAATGAGGTGATTTGGTAAAATGCTATGCCCAAGATTACTATCCGAGTGCCGGCGGTGGGGTGGTTCAAATAGCTTAGGCTATCACCTCATTATGTCCGGTCGTGATGGTCAAGTGGATTAAGGCGTCTTGTACATACCAGTTGCGTTGCTCCTGGGAGTATGGGTTCGAGTCACTTCTGGGGTGTGAGTTTTCAGTTGCATATTGTCCTGGGGACCATTCAGGCTTGTTCGCATTTGTGTTCCTCACGTGTGCCCCAAAGAATGAGGTGATTTGGTAAAATGCTATGCCCAAGATTACTATCCGAGTGCCGGCGGTGGGGTGGTTCAAATAGCTTAGGCTATCACCTCATTATGTCCGGTCGTGATGGTCAAGTGGATTAAGGCGTCTTGTACATACCAGTTGCGTTGCTTCTGGGAGTATGGGTTCGAGTCACTTCTGGGGTGTGAGTTTTCAGTTGCATATTGTCCTGGGGACCATTCAGGCTTGTTCGCATTTGTGTTCCTCACGTGTGCCCCAAAGAATGAGGTGATTTGGTAAAATGCTATGCCCAAGATTACTATCCGAGTGCCGGCGGTGGGGTGGTTCAAATAGCTTAGGCTATCACCTCATTATGTCCGGTCGTGATGGTCAAGTGGATTAAGGCGTCTTGTACATACCAGTTGCGTTGCTTCTGGGAGTATGGGTTCGAGTCACTTCTGGGGTGTGAGTTTTCAGTTGCATATTGTCCTGGGGACCATTCAGGCTTGTTCGCATTTGTGTTCCTCACGTGTGCCCCAAAGAATGAGGTGATTTGGTAAAATGCTATGCCCAAGATTACTATCCGAGTGCCGGCGGTGGGGTGGTTCAAATAGCTTAGGCTATCACCTCATTATGTCCGGTCGTGATGGTCAAGTGGATTAAGGCGTCTTGTACATACCAGTTGCGTTGCTTCTGGGAGTATGGGTTCGAGTCACTTCTGGGGTGTGAGTTTTCAGTTGCATATTGTCCTGGGGACCATTCAGGCTTGTTCGCATTTGTGTTCCTCACGTGTGCCCCAAAGAATGAGGTGATTTGGTAAAATGCTATGCCCAAGATTACTATCCGAGTGCCGGCGGTGGGGTGGTTCAAATAGCTTAGGCTATCACCTCATTATGTCCGGTCGTGATGGTCAAGTGGATTAAGGCGTCTTGTACATACCAGTTGCGTTGCTTCTGGGAGTATGGGTTCGAGTCACTTCTGGGGTGTGAGTTTTCAGTTGCATATTGTCCTGGGGACCATTCAGGCTTGTTCGCATTTGTGTTCCTCACGTGTGCCCCAAAGAATGAGGTGATTTGGTAAAATGCTATGCCCAAGATTACTATCCGAGTGCCGGCGGTGGGGTGGTTCAAATAGCTTAGGCTATCACCTCATTATGTCCGGTCGTGATGGTCAAGTGGATTAAGGCGTCTTGTACATACCAGTTGCGTTGCTTCTGGGAGTATGGGTTCGAGTCACTTCTGGGGTGTGAGTTTTCAGTTGCATATTGTCCTGGGGACCATTCAGGCTTGTTCGCATTTGTGTTCCTCACGTGTGCCCCAAAGAATGAGGTGATTTGGTAAAATGCTATGCCCAAGATTACTATCCGAGTGCCGGCGGTGGGGTGGTTCAAATAGCTTAGGCTATCACCTCATTATGTCCGGTCGTGATGGTCAAGTGGATTAAGGCGTCTTGTACATACCAGTTGCGTTGCTTCTGGGAGTATGGGTTCGAGTCACTTCTGGGGTGTGAGTTTTCAGTTGCATATTGTCCTGGGGACCATTCAGGCTTGTTCGCATTTGTGTTCCTCACGTGTGCCCCAAAGAATGAGGTGATTTGGTAAAATGCTATGCCCAAGATTACTATCCGAGTGCCGGCGGTGGGGTGGTTCAAATAGCTTAGGCTATCACCTCATTATGTCCGGTCGTGATGGTCAAGTGGATTAAGGCGTCTTGTACATACCAGTTGCGTTGCTTCTGGGAGTATGGGTTCGAGTCACTTCTGGGGTGTGAGTTTTCAGTTATATATATATATATATATATATATATATATATATATATATATATATATATATATATATATATATATATATATATATATATATATATATATGGATCAAATATATGCAAGTCCCTGCCGTCTAAGTGATTGGGCACATTCCTTTTCTACGTTCTATTACAAATCCTTACCCACATATCCCTTGAAATGCTATATAGTCGTAATGACTTAGTGCTTTCTTCTGATAATTACTTTACCTTAAAATTCCTGTTCAGTAAGGTACATCCATTTCCATTTTCTTGATTAAATGAGGTGTGACTAAACATTACATATTATACCGTACTACTAACAGCGTTTATTAATTTAGGACATACGTTTAAAATTGTATCATGCGCTAATGAAATTTTGATAATTACGTATAGTATACACGCTCATCTTTACTTTCATCCATCATCAAACTTAAAGAAACAAATGAAAGATTTTGTCATTCAAACAGCCTCAGCTACTATGGATCCTGGAGAACCGGGCGCTGACGGCCAACGATATGTGCGGGATGATGTTGGTTGGGTTTGGCTGCCATACCAACAACCCGGACCGCGTGTGGGAGGTGACCCTACCTGACGTGACCAAGCCTCCGGTCTTGGACCCGGTCCTCCCGCCGGTAAGACCTCACACCTAATACCGATATACGCAACTACAGCGGCCACGACACGCCTACGATAATAGGCTTCGTATATCACAAAGGTGGACAACACCATTGCCAGAATTTGAATACTTGTGGAATATTTATTACAGTATCCATCTTCACTACACACTGTGGTCACTTTTACTGTACAACCATCATCTCTATATTCATCTTCACTACAAATTACCATCATCTCTAACCATTTTTAGTCACACTATCTTCCTCAATGTAACCATCTTTATTACTCACAGCCACTCAGTCAAGTTGCTCGCTGTAACCCTCGTCAATTCAAATCAAATGCTCATTCAGGTAAAAGTACATAAATAAATGAGATACAAACATAATGTTGGATTTATAGATAGAGCTAGTACATACAATACCTAAAGCCACTAATACCTTGAGGTTACCTTGAGGTGCTTCCGGGGCTTAGCGTCCCCGCGGCCCGGTCGTCGACCAGGCCTCCTGGTTGCCGGACTGATCAACCAGGCTGTTGGACGCGGCTGCTCGCAGCCTGACGTACGAGTCACAGCCTGGTTGATCAGGTATCCTTTGGAGGTGCTTATCCAGTTCTCTCTTGAACACTGTGAGGGGTCGGCCAGTTATGCCCCTTATGTGTAGTGGAAGCGTGTTGAACAGTCTCGGACCTCTGATGTTGATAGAGTTCTCTCTCAGAGTACCAGTTGCACCTCTGTTTTTCAACGGGGATATTCTGCACATCCTGCCATGTCTTCTGGTCTCATGTGATGTTATTTCTGTGTGCAGGTTTGGGACCAGCCCCTCTAATATTTTCCACGTGTAAATTATTATGTACCTCTCCCGCCTGCGCTCAAGGGAGTACAGTTTTAGGCTCTTTAGTCGGTCCCAATAGTTTAGATGTTTTACTGAGTGGATTCTAGCAGTAAAGGATCTCTGCACGCTCTCCAGGTTTAACACTTTTGCGCTTTAGATTAGACATAGCTCGTCACCGTTTTTTCTTACGATTCCGCATAACAGACTATGCCTGTAGTCCATCGAAAAAATATTTCTATAAATTCCATTTTCTAACCGAAATGTATGGGGATACTCAGATTTTTCTCCATGAAATTCCCGTTCTCCCTCACTGAAAATTTTCAGAAAAATTTGAATCTGTATATATCCCCAAAAAAACAATTGAGTCTCGATGAGGGTACAATGGGATGGCGCGGCCGCCTCTCTTTCAAGGTCTACAATCCCAACAAGCCTGATAAATATGGATGTAAAATTTTATATGTTGGCCGAAGGGAAATCAGGCTACATATATAAATTTGATGTGTATTGTGGAATTGGAAAAACGACAGTGGAAACCGTGATGGGGTTGATGGCGCCCCTAGTCAACAAGGGTTATCATTTGTATATGGATAACTACTATAACTCGGTAAGCCTAACAGAACAATTACGTGAAGTGGGTAAAAAAAAAAGAGTAAAGTAAAAAAAGTAAAGAGTAAAGTATGAGTAAAAAAAAAACACAAAGTATGTTTGGGGGTGTGGCGGGTGTGGCTCTGGGTGTGGCAGGCATGTGGCAGTGGGTTCCCTTTAGCCGTTGATATATCCAACACGTGGGAAATATTTGTATGTGTTATGTATATGTCTGTGTAGGGAATTTTACTGCGATCACTGTCATGCAAATTATAAAATGTTTCAACAAGTATAAACATGACAAACATCAAACGAACGAAAACAATGCGTTCGTTTCTGCCGCGAACGCATACTGAGCGACGTGGTTCTATATTTGGCGCTTCTCTTACACATGCTTTGTACAAATGTTATACATTTCATCTTATAGAAAATTTTATTGCGAACACATTGGTATAAAAAAGAAATACGTACATAGAAAAGTAGGGTCAGGAAACGTATAAACTTTACAAGCATGATTTCCCCCCTGTGTTTTCGCCAGTGCGCTCGCGGCTAACTACTTATCACTTCACGCACTCTTGCGGGTGGGCAATTACCTATATTAAACATTCATATGCATATGTCCGTGTAGGGAATGTTATTGCGATTCCAATGATACCAAAATTAGCGATGTAGGACAACTGTAGGCTTCGCAACCATTAAGAAAGTGGAAACATTTTGTTGCTGTTTGGCGCTCTCGGCGAGTGATCTGCATAGTTTTTTATTTGGTGTTGATACTCCTTATGCTTGGGCGGCATTTTATAGGTATGCTCTTATAGACAATTTCATTGCGAACACAGTGATAAAAAATTTAAATACGTGCGCCTTCAATTATTGTCAGGACAGTCAAAAGAATGTACACTTTTTCGGTCTTACCGCATAGGCGCGCGAAGTGCCGAAAGCATCTGGGGTATTGTTTTTTTTTTTTTGAGCGCCGAGAGCGCGAAAGTGTTAATGTAGCGTCCACATTTTAAAATATTTGTTAAAAATGTAAATTTTATCCGATCAAAGTTGGAGTGGTTTTTAAATGAGCGCCTTTAGAGTGCGCACAATTTGATACCCAAATGAAAGATGTAACACAAACATTGATGTCAGAACACTGGAAAGATTATAATTACGTTTTTGGTCAAAATTTTTAAATATTTTATAAAATTCTATTTATTACGCTATTATTATGGGACTTATTTTAAAATGCGCGCCTTTAGATTACGAACATTTCAATATCAAAATGAAAGACGTAACACGAAAATTGATGTCAGAACACTGGAAAGATATAAATAATTTTGTGATGATGTGCGTCCAAAATTTAAAATATTTATTAAAATTCCATTTATTGCTCTATTATTATCGGACTAGTTTTAAAATACGCGTCATTATATTGGGAATAATTTGAGACCGAAATGAAAGACGTAACACGAAAATAGATGTTATCAAATTGAACGAGTATACACAGTTTCCCTAACTTGTATACCATGCAAGGTGATGGAGAAGACCGTGAGGAAAAGGCTCGTAGAGCATCTGGAGGGAAATAACTTTGTAATGCACCACCAACATGGGTTCAGAGATGGTAAATCTTGCCTCACAGGATTAATAGAATTCTATGACCAGGCAACAAAAATTAGGCAGGAAAGAGAAGGGTGAGCCGACTGCATTTTCCTGGATTACCAGAAAGCCTTTGACACAGTACCCGATAAAAGGCTGTTAAAAAACTTTGAGCAACAGCCGAGCGGACAGCACGCTGGACTTGTGATCCTGTGGTCCTGGGTTCGATCCCAGGGGCCGGCGAGAAACAATGGGCAGAGTTTCTTTCACCCTATGCCCCTGTTACCTAGCAGTAAATAGGTACCTGGGTGTTAGTCAGCTGTCACGGGCTGCTTCCTGGGGGTGGAGGCCTGGTCGAGGACCGGGCCGCGGGGACACTAAAAAAAAAGCCCCGAAATCATCTCAAGATAACCTCAAGATAACAGGCAGGCGTGAAAGGGGAGGTGCTCCAGTGGATAAGGGAGTACTTTAGCAACAGGAAACAGCGAGTAACGGTGAGAGGGTAGACATCAGAGTGCCGAGATGTCACCAGCGGAGTCCCACAGGGCTCAGTACTTGGACCCATCCTGTTTCTAATATATGTAAACGATTTTCCGGAGGGTACAGACTCGTTCCTCTCAATGTTTGCTGATGATGCAAAAATTATGAGAAGAATCAAGACGGATGAAGATAGACAGAGACTACAGGATGACCTAGACAAACTGGAGGAATGGTCTAGAAAATGGCTGCTAAAGTTCAACTCAGGAAAGTGTAAGGTAATGAAATTAGGCGAAGGGAGCAGGAGGCTGAACACAAGGTACCATCTGGGAGGTGAAATCCTGCAAGAGTCAAATAGAGAGAAAGATCTGGGGGTTGATATCACACCGAACCTGTCCTCAGAGGCCCACATCAATAGGATATCATCAGCGGCATATGCTAGACTGGCCAACATAAGAACTGCTTTTAGAAACTTGTGTAAGGAATCGTCCAGGACCCTGTATACCACTTTTGTCAAACCAATCCTGGAATATGCAGCTTCAGCCTGGAGTCCATACCTAGTTAAACACAAGACAAAGTTAGAGAAGATTCAGCGGTATGCCACCAGTAATGTAGTGTCGAGAACGACACTACATTACACTAGCTAGGAAGGGAAGAGGAGGGTATACAGATGTCATACTATTGCTGATGTTGGAAGCTCAACACTTAGTACTATCTGCTGGGAGCGATATCAAACAACAATGACAAAGCTGTGATGACATGGGATTAGATCTCCATGACCTCGCATATTACGTACATATTGGTTAAAATCCTTTATTAGTACGAAGTGTTGAGCTTCCAACATCAGCAATGGTATGACATCTGTATAACCTCCTCTACCCTTCTTAGCTAGTGTGATGTAGTATCGTTTCTGATCAGGGGGAGAAAGATACTGACAGTATGGGGCTTAAATTTTATTGATAAAATAAATTCTGCAGAACATGTAGATATATAAAGTAAGAATTACCAAAAGTAACAATTCCAAGTCCGAGGACTAGTATTTAACTTAAAAGGTACACCCGTAGTATGAGATAAGCTTAGCCTAGTGACATGGTAAACAAATTCTGCAGAAACCTAATAGCTTAACTGGTACTAGAATTAAGGCCGTGGGCAAATGTGTAGTAATTATATAACACTAGGATATAACAGGCAGGACACAAAGAGTAACTAATAAGTGAGAGACCACATAACACATAATGGACCCGACCAAAAGGCCGTAAAGACCTAATGAATAAGGAGAAAGGGTTCCTGACTAAAAGTAGGGCTTACTAGCATCTAGACTGGGCAAAGTATTAGCTGCGGACAGCGGGACACTTGGGGACCGGCGCTGCACCCCCCTTCCCACTTGCAGTGGGGAAAACAGGAGAGACAACTGGCTCAAAGCATGACAGGGAAAACAAAGATAGCCGCTTGCAAAGGGGAGGTGGGTGGGATTTGCGAGGGCAGCGGCGAGGGCAGGCGAAGTGAAGGCAGAGCCCCTCTTTACCCCAGTATTTATATGGCCCCAG